CACACAAAAAAAAACACCAGTAACACCGTTCAAACCTCCTGCCACTCAAACGTGTGGGTACGACAATAGCCACGCCAAGTCTGATGAGAGACGAAGGAATAGTCAGCCAACCCAACCAGGAAAACTCTGGAACCACCCAATGCCCCCCCCCCCCCCCCCCAAGATGAGAAGAGCCAAACTGAAAAGAAGCTGGAACCAGCACCATGGCATAAGCCTCGTCCCACACAAGGTAAGTATTGAAAGCCTCCCAAACCGCAGCAGGGGAAATCCAAGAGGAAGAAAACCTCCGAAAGGATGAATCCGAGGAAACCGAAGGCCCCCAGAAACAAATTCCAGTGGGGATGGGGGGAACTGCACCAACACACAAAGGGAAGAAGGGCATGAAAACCCTGCACCAAAATCACTAAAGAGATGAGTAAGAGAAGCACAAGCGGGAACAAGTCCCGCCAGACCCCAGGTCGCAGGTGTCCCCGACCCCAAGGCTGCAGGTGTCTCCGAGGTGAGAGAGAGACTTCTGGGGCACACTCGCACAAGGTGAGAGTGTGCCCCAGAAGAAGTACCATGGTACAACTGAGCCTACGGGGGTTTACCAAGGATCGTTGGGGGAATAAACCCTACAGGAAGCCCAGGCACAGGGGCCAGCTAGGCTGGTAAACCCTGTCTAAAGCAAGCAAACTGACTGCAAGCAGCAGTCATGAAGCCTCAGGGGCAACAACACTCAACAGAGGAGGACCACCACTACAACCTTGGCTAAGCCTAATAAGGAGCTAGGCCGACCTCCACTGCCACACCGGGCCCCAAAATGTGAAGAAAAAAACGAAATCACACAGCAAACAAGCAGCCAGAGAAACATTGGCCACCAAGTGTGATAGTAAATGCAGGTTGTGCTAGCCACAGTGTGCCCACCAGCAAACAAACACACCGCTATCTGTGGCAAGGCGGGAAGTCCAAGAACCTGACTCCCCCCAAGGGCGAGGAGAACCACAAGTGAGGAAGCCCTCTTACCGAGCACCTAGGGAAGGGGGCTCTAGGTGCTTGCTACTCCAGTACTCTAAACTTCTAGCAACACACACACCACCGTTTCATAATTTCATAACACCAAAGAAAACAGGAACACGGAGCCAGAGCAACAGCAACCACATGGCACGACGACAACAGTCAACGAACTGAAGGATGGCGGCCTGGGCGGCGGCTCTTCCTTCTCCCTATACGAGAGGGGAGGGGGGGGGAGCTAACGAGCGATGGGGTTAGTTGGATGAAGTTTCGTTTGTTTGTCTGCTTTCTTGGGGGAGTTCTTTTGCGCTTGTGAGGATGTAGATCGCACTTTTCAATAAAGCAGTGGTCTTTTTGATTCTCCTACCTTTCTGGGTGCTTTCCCTGGTCAATGGCAAGATCACATACTTTAAATGTAAAGAATTCATGGCCATCGCTCCCTTTGCCTCTCTGAGGAAACAGGTTCTGGCTCGTGGTTCCCAGTAGGCTTACAAAGAATTCTGCAACCGATGACACTCAAGTAGTACGGCACTTGATCAGCAAGATAGCTTCTCGGAGCCGACGGGGCTTCCCCCAGAAATAGATTGGCCTTTGGGAACAAGTGTTTGTTCCAAAGGAATTTTATGCAAAGTCCAAATATTAATAATATATATCAACTTAAACAAAAATACTAAAATGTGACAATTATACAAGTATTATTGTCTGATCTCAAACTTTCAGAACTATATTCACAAAACTACAAGATATGAAAAAAAATTCCCAAACCAAGGGTCATTACATGCATGTCAACACAAGTGCTGGATCAATGATATTATTACAGACAGAAATCACAATAACGTGAAATATATTAAATGAACAAATCTACAGGAGCCTTGATGAGGGTTCGAACCTATGCGCTGGATGTTCCCAGACGCGCTCTAGTCAACTGTACAACAACCTGGTAAACGAATTGCAACCTGGAGTGCTACTGTCCCCACGAGGATCCCGAGGCTTCCACTGAAGCCTAACTGGGGTTTCACACAATTCCCTCCATGCACTCAGGTTCTGTCAACCAAATAGTTCTACCTCTGATGCCCCTACCTCAATACACACAGAAATCACAATAACGTGATGTTATTGTTAATTATCACATAATCTGCAATGTAATTTGCATAAATTATTACAAAAGTTGTCTTACTGCAGCAACCAAAGTGCTGAAGATGATAGGAAAAAGTGAAAATACATTTCCAGTGGAGAGAAAATTGACACGGCACTAGAGAGTGATGTGAGGCAGTTTGACACGAAATAAAAGTGTCACCTGAAAGGTAGACATGGGATGAAATGGCAGGAAAGGAGTCTCCCAACAAAGTTTACTAAGAAAGTTCTAACATCATTTTACCTTTTTGGTTTCAATAATGATCATATGTACACAATTTCAACACCAAATTGTTTGCTAAAGATCGCTCTATCCTATGTGATGGTCAAAAAGAAGAATGCATAATAAAAGAACCTTTGTATTTTTTTTTAACTTAGTGTTTGAGAAAAACAAATTATGACAGATTTGTAGTTACCCATAAGTGTTATAAAAAAAATATTTCACTGTACTACTCTGCACGGCAAGTGCAAGTGTATATGCAGTACAATAGATGTAGAATACAGTGGAACCTTGATTCAACGAACTTCGATCTGGCAAATTTGGTTGGAATGCACACTTTAGAATGGATTTACTCACTACAAACAAACAAGTTCACAGAAATAGGGATATGAGAATTTGCTTTGGAAGTTGGGACAGAGTTCACTAGATTTGCCCATCATTTCTTAGGTTAAAATTAAAGATTCCCATAAGCCCATAGAACATGGGAAATATAGGGTATGAATGGTAACACTCTTAATAGGGCTCCAACCACCTTTTTTATGATTTTCATAGATGGACATTATAAATAAAAAGATTTCAAGGCTAGGGCATGGGAAGTAAGTTAAATGTGGTTAAATCTCTTTACAGATAGGTTCCCTTGGTAGCTGTCTTTCAAATGACAGGTTGAAATAAAATTTTGCTCATTGAAATCAGCCCATAGCGCATGGGAAATATTCGTGTATGAGTGGTAACTGCTAATATGGCTCAATCACATTTTTAATTATTTTTGTACATGGACACAACATTAGAAGAGAAAGTTAGTTCCTTGGGAAAGTCATTGAGCATATTTAAAACCAAGGTCTATGGAATGTATTCATTTTGGGACTTCTCTGTTTTCACTCACAAATATGGGCCTGTTTTCCTCCAAAATTAAGGTTCTGAGGCAAGGGCATGGGGAACTATACTAGATGTGGGTAAATTCCTTTAGAGATAGGTTTACTTGGTAGCTGTCCTGTACATGACAGGGTGAAATGAAAATTTCCCTCAGTTAAATCAGCCCATAGATTGTGAGAAATATTAGAATATGAATAGTAACTTAATATGGCTCCAATCACATTTTTAATGATTTTTGAAGATGACATAATATTAGAAGAAAGAAATGGGGGTTTGGGAAAGCCAGAGCATATTTAAAATCAAATCTATGGTTTGTTTTAATTTTGAGATTTCTCAGTTTTCATTCACAAGTATGTAGATACCTCCTAGAGGCATCTCTGGTTGCAACGAATCCCTCAGTATAATGAATTGGGGTTGGTCCCATAATGTTTGTTGAATTGAGGTTGCACTGTACATTCTCACTCTATATTTACCTGGGGTAAACGGGTTAACTGGAGTCTAATGGGTTAAAAAAATCATACGAATGAAATGAATTGGACTCACTCCATACAGGTTTCTTGAGACTAATTTACATTGTAGGTCATTAAATATATCCCACATTACTGTTATTCAATTGTTAAATTATATTTCTTAATTTTTTAACCATATTTACTCATACACAAATATATTATTAGATTATTAGTGCATATTTCATTAATGCTAATCTTGACAAGTTCTGATCAAAAAAATGAAGGCCTGTTTGGCTGAAAAATTAACAAAAATAACTGGTATATTAAATGCCATTCTTATTCTGCAACTAAAGAGAGAGCTTCCAATGCAGCTACAAGTCCAAAGAAAGGAGTTCTATTTGAGTGGGTAAAAACACTACCAATATACCTACTACTTGACACACTACATTACAATGTACTGCAGAAGACAAAATTGGGGCTGTCAAATCAATTTAAATTCTGCGTGCAACAAATTAGCTCCAGCCCATGTATTTTGTTGAGGTCAGGTCCCATCTACCTTGTGACTACCTTGTGGTGATTCCAGGGATCAATGTCCTTGTGACCCAGTCTCTGACTAGGCCTCCTGGATGGTTGTCTGATCAACCAGGCTGTTAGATGCGACAATGATAACCATCATAAGAGCAATCGCTATACTACAGTACGTCTTTAAGCAGCAAACATTACAGTTTTGTCTTGAAGGAAACTACATAAAAAGAAAAAAGGTTATCAGAAATATCATTTACCAAATCCCTAAACTTATTATTATACATTTTACGTGTAACTTGTGAGCAGAAAATGACTGAGGTTCCCGGGATGTGGTGGGCCTTTGACAAGGGCAAGTGCTCTAATGGACACACCTCAAGGTAAGTGTACAAATACTATAGCCATTTCCTCTCTCCCTATTATTTATGGGGATGAGGTGTCAAACCATAGGCTTCTCATTAGTCAATATCTGCTACTTGATCAAAATTTATACAAGACAGGGAAATATAAAAGAAATCTATTATTATATCTGGCGTATATACTTTAATCCTAACCTTATAATTCTTAGATAACTGAAGAAAATTAACTTTTCCATTTGTTACAAATTCCTTTTACTGAATGAAATATTCAAATATACGAAAATAATCACCTCATTCCAGAGAAACGTCAGCTCACATTTTTTGCTATTTAATGTTGTTGTTATAATATTATGCCTAATTTCATGTTGAACATTACTACATTTAAATGTTAGTTGAATTCACAAGGATACAGATATTAGAAGTGATATGATTGTTATGGGAACTACTTACGTAGTGATGCTCCAGAGCCCACCTTGAGTCTCTGGGTTTGGGCATATTGTGAACGAGCTTGTGCACGCCTGGCAGCTTGCAGATCAATGGCACTGTTGGACCGAAAGTTGTTTGTTGGAGTAAGGGAGGGGGTAGGGGAATCTGGGGAATCTTGTGAGCGATGAGAGGCAGGGGTGGGAATAGCAGATCGGCGAGTGGTACTCAGGGACATCCTTGATGTTAGTGCTGCAAGGTTCTCTGTGCTTCCAGTTGTTGACGAAGAGCGTGACCATCCAGAACGTGTACCAGCTGTTGACATGAGGACCAGCGAAGAATGCACACACATCCGGGCAAGCCATGTTTGTCAATATATCGATGTGGCAGCACGCACAATCCAAGAGAGCGTATGTGCAACATCCAGGTACACACACAAGCCACAGTAGTGTTGTAGTTCAGGTGAAAAGGAATGGGGGAAGCAAGCAAAGGCCAAGCATCAGCTGTGTGTCAAATGCTTGCCAGATGTAAACACTAGGTACTAAAAACACAAACCTCAAAAAATAATCAATACAAAATGTAAAAACTACAAAACGCACACATGCGTGGAATTTGCTAATAATAATAACTGAAAACTCTATGAGTGTGTCATAATCTTATCCAAATATTTTGTTATGAGCACACACATGCAAAAATAACAAATTTGAATGCTAAGCGAGTCCTGCAGCAAAATTTATGTTCTGGATTAAACTAAATATAAGGCATTCAATGAACCAAAAAAAAAAAAAATACAAAAATTATCTTTGAAAATCAATTTAAATGAGCTTTTACTTGCACAACTAAAGATTAAAGAAGTTTAAAAAAGGAAAATGAAAATGAACATTAACGTCTATTAAGAAGCAATACAAAAGTATATTTTTAAATAAGATTCAAGAAACATATAACTTTCATATATTATAGATTTTAAAATACTGAACTACTGTACTTCCAAATAGTCTGTGTCAAATAATTAATCAGTTTCAATAAAATAAGAAGTTGCTGCAAGAACTCCTACTTCCAGAAGTATAAAGAATTAAAATTTACTGCCAGAATCTCCCTACCTTAAATTATTTATGCCCACTTACCTTGAAGAAACTAACCGAGTAGAAAATGGTGCAAAACCACATAAACCAACCTTTCTATGCTCAATGTGTTCACCAGTATTATGTATGAAGATAAGCCTATCCGAGCCCTAAATTAAAGTGACACCCAATTATTCCAACTTTGCATACACCAAATTAATCCCAATGTCTAAACATCAACTTAACTCAACACAAAATTAATCCACTACATAATTTAATTTGCCACCCTGTCTTTGAAGAGCTTAACAACCTGCAGAGTACGTCTAAATTGATGCAACTCTTTCTTGCCTCCATAAAGCTCATTTTCTCCAACTTGCAAGAACAACTCAAACTCAGCCCATAATGGCCAACCTTGTGATGTAAATAAGGGCAGTTGATCCATACCTGACTTATTGTGAGAGTTGTGCAGTGACTGTGAAGAGGAGGAGTTAGACATGCTTATCTCACCCTGCAGCATTTTCTTGTAGCTTGGATCTAAGGAATTCAACAATTTGTCTGCCTCATCTTTAAAATGATCAGCGAAGCCCCAATATGCTCTGCAAGAAATTTAATTTTAAGTATATATATTTATATAAAAATGAAAAGGGGGGTGGGATTGCAGTGAAGATGCTGATGATAAACACTACAAATTTAGGGTTACAGAATGACTGTTTTTGTTATAGCCAAGAGTAAGCTAGATATAGAAAGTAAGAAGCTATACAGTACAGTATAAAATAAAATATTAATGTAAATTTTTTATTTAATTTAAGCTTTTCAATGTATATTAATATCAGACATGTAAGCCATAAAATGTCCCCATAAAATTAACACTTACTTTCTAGAGAATGCTCGAGCTTCTGGGTCTGCATCTGTTATTCCTCTCTTTATGTTTTCGGCAAGAATGGCAACATGCTTCTCCATAGAATGTGTGGGCCACGTATGTACAAGTTGATCTAAAACTTCGCACAGCACTTTTCGGATTTCTCTGTTCTTGCTAGTCAACTCTCGTAAGAGGATTGGAATTAATTTATGGTGGTGAGTGTTTTGTATGATAAATCGAATTGTTACGATACCAGATGATGCCATCACCTGAAAATATTTAATTTTATTTTAATGTTTGGAAATGTTATCAAAATTGTCTGGTACTGTACTTAATTAAAAAATCTTTAATATTTTGACCTAAGGGTAATAAATGGTATCTACAATAAAAAGAATTGTTTACTGCATACAATACAATATACAAATAGAGTGGATAACTGTAGGCAGTCCCAAACTTATGAACAGGATGTATTCCAAACAAGTGTTCAAGAGCCATTTTAGGCCTTCCATATGCACTTGTATATTGTCCTTTGCAAAAAGTGTCAGACCAAGAGGGAAAATGCTCTGCAACCCAACTGGATAGATCACTAAGTATATTATCCTTTTGCCAGAATAGAGGCTTCACAAGCCTCTAAAACTAACTAGTCTCCAAATCAACAACACACAAAACTCCACAAAAATATAAACATTCCAAAGAAGGGTTGGGAAAGAATGATAAAACCCCTGCTTAACCAACCTAATAAATAATTCTGTGATACAATGACCAAAATATGGCAGAAGAGTGAATGAAGTCCAGATTGTACTTTATATCGGGATTGCCAATACTGTAGGTCTTTGACAACAATCCTTAAATAAGAGTAAGGATGCAATACTTGCTTGCTTGCTTGCTTAAGGATACACCCCCCATATCCCCCCCCCCCCACAAAAAATGAACGAAAGTACACAGAACATTATAACAATAACGGAGATAAAACAGTGCAATACAGAACACAATTTTTCCAGAATATGAGGTAATAAGGATAGAGCCATCAAACAGGGGTGGTGATGTATCACTGCTGCTACACTGGAGATTTGCAGGAATAAAAGTACTAGAGAAAACCAACAATGGCATACCCGGTGAATGTCTTTGATACCTCTGGGAACTGGGTCTTGTTATCCTACATGTTACCTAATAGTATGGAAATTAAGTTAAAATATACAGTATATCATATTATACATGGCCATAATGGAAAAAATATCCCACAATATGTGCTATGCTATCTATGTCTTGTGCTATACCTTGCGGTCTGGATACTGGAGTTACCCAAGATGTCATTTTGTTACAAAACACCCCAGCTACCATAGTTTTTGGCTAGTCTCTATATATAGCTTGCACATGCAGTTTTCACTCGAATATCACACTATACCTGGATCATACCTGAAGAGGGTTTTGAGAGTTCTACTCCCTGAGCTTGGCCTGGGGCCATGTATCCTATAGAACAATGTCTCCTATTGCAATTCATACCATAATTTATGCAATAAGCCTAACTTCTTTTATTGTCTGAAGACCTATGACTTTATCCTAGATTGCATTAAAAGACAAGAATTCAGTATCAAATCCAGCACAGAACTTGATTGTGAAGAGATTTCAAAATGCACGCACCAGGCACAAACAGCAAGGAGACAGGACAGTGTTACACGTCACACCCTATAGTTGCTTTTAGGTGGTTTTAAAACCTTACCCGGTAAATCTTACCTTTTGTTAATAGGATCACAAAACAGAAGCCCAACTTTTTTAAATGCCTAAAAATAAACATCTCATTGTGTTTCAGTGGAAATATGATAAACACCCATAACAGGAAACTAATTAACAGAACTATGCTGCCTACATTGGACCATGAGCACAACTGACTGGTTGATCTACTTGTCCACCAGGAGCATTAGTCAAAGGCAAAGCCATGAGAACAGTGACAAGAACAATGGAATGATTTTGGGAAGATAACAAAACAGTAAAGTAAAAAATTAATTCAGAGTTTCCAAATACAAATAGAAAAAGCATACAAATAAACAGTATAGCACATGATACAGGCATTCCAAAGCATTAGATGGCTTTGTGAACCTCAATCTCGCCAACTGCCATTAGAAATAAATACTGTACATGCATAACATTACATGATGTATATCACAGACTCTACTTACCTTAGCACTATTGGGTATTAAATTAATAAGGCTTGGTAGGAGAGTTTCACACAAATGATCAACTTTATGATGGAGCTCCTGAGACATGTATGCCACAGTGACACACGCCTCACGCACCACCTGTGACCTGTCAGTGATCAAATAATGATAATTACTAATAAAATAGCACAATCAAAACACTAGACTATTCATGTACACCACCTATAATTTAAGTAATAATGATATATTGATTTGATTTTGTTTATTATGCATTTGAAACAGCCTGAGAGTGATTTTAGTAATTTTACAACATCAAGGAACCAAAGTTACGTCCCAAAATATTTCAGCATTATTCTACCTGATCTGCCATAATTCAATAAATTGTAATTATATATATCTGTATTCTATTTGAAAAACATTCAGTATCATGCAGATATAAGTCTACTAAACAATACACGAGCAAAAAGTTAATTAACACTTTCGCTGCCTGGTCACGTATATTCCGTCATAAAACCAAAAATGGAGAGTACGTGATGACGCAAACGATGTCATTAATTTAAAAATTTGTAAAAATTACTTTTATTGTCCGAATACTATGTGACTTGTTTTAAAATGCACGCCAACTTTTTTCCATTCTCTGTATACTCCACATGGCATCCTGACCCGGCCATGTGGGCACCCACCCATGCTGGAGGCTCAGTGTTCTCGTGCTCTTGCTTCTGACAGCCGCAGCCTCCCCTCTAGTCAAAAAGTTTCCCCATTCTGGTTATTTTATCTCAGGTATTTGTTGTTAATGGCTTTATGAACACTGCAAATTGACTTCCAGATGGATACTGATTAAGAACAGAGCCAATCCACGACAAAAGCATTGAGTGAAAACTTAAGAGTTTTCGTTGAAAGTATAGAAAAGCGAGACTTGTATGTTCTTATATGCAAATATCCCTTTACAGCAAGCTATTGCGAACAATTTAATACCAACTTGAACGATGTAGCACGAACGTTAAGGTGAGAAAATAAGGTCTGTATTCACCTAGTTGTGCTTGCACGGATTGAGCTTCAACTCTTTGGTCCCGCGTCTCAACTGTCAATTAACTGGTGTACAGATTCCTGAACCTATTGGGTTCTAATATATCTACATTTGAAACTGTGTATGGAGTCTGCCCCACTACATCACTGCCTAGTTCATTTCACCTATTAACTACTCTAACACTGAAAAAATTCTTTCTAAAGTCTCCGTGACTCATTCGAGTACTAAGTTTCTACCTGTGTCCCCTTGTTTGTGTTCTGCCCATACTAAATCATTTGAATTTGTCCACCCTGTCAATTCCTTTGAGAATTTTGTAGGTGGTGATCACATCTCCCCTAACTCCGCTGCCATCTAAGAACATTTTGTTTAATTCCTGTAGCCTTTTGTCATAACTCATACCTCTCAGCTCTGAGACTAGTGGCATACCTCTGAATCCTAACTTTGTCTTGTGTTTAACTAAGTATGGACTCCAGGCTGGAGCTGCATACTCGAGGATTGATCTGACATACACCATATGCAAGGTTCTGAATGATTCCTTACACAAGTTTCTAAAGGCAGTTCTTATCTTGGCCAATCTAGCATACACCACTGATGATATCCTTTTGATGTGGGGTTCTGGGGACAGTTTCTGCATGATATGAACCCCCAGATCACTCTCTCTTCTTGACTCTAGAAGGATTTCACCTCCCAGATGGTACCTTGCATTCAGCCTCCTGCTCCCTTCCCCTAATTTCATTACTTTACCTGAGTTAGACTTTAGTAGCCATTTTTAAGACCATTCCTCCAGTTTGTCTAGCCCCCCCCCCCCACCTCTGTCTATCTTCCTCTGTCTTCTTCCTTCCTTCCTCTGCCTGGGCCAGCTTTTACATACATAGTACTTGTACTTATAATGAACAATGTTAACCCTTACACTGCTACAGCCTGGGCAATAAATGGGGGTATAAGCTGGGGCTAAGCAAAAATATATTTGAATTATGTGAAAATTAATATTAAATGTTAAACGAATCTCCAACTTATTGGCTTCAGCGTCGTGAAAGTTTCATCCTAATATTTTCAGAAATGGATTTTAGACAAAAATTTTTTTAAAAGAAGAACGTTTTGTTGATAAGGAGAACAGCTCCTATTAACTGGAACCGAGGGAAAATGCAGTAATAAAGAAATGCAAGCACCTGCCCGATGCACAAAGAAGAAGAATAGTAAGAAGTGTCCACAAAGTAGATATACAGCTGGTGCCTTTATAGCATTGCTGAGTAATACATAATAACACAAACAATAATGAGTATGTTATTATGCTTTATTTTGTTATATATCATATAAATACATTGCCCAATGTTATTATCAGTTACTTTCAACAATGTCCAAAAAATATTTTATTTAAGGGAAATTTCTTTTTTTTTTTATAGGTTTTCAGGATTTTTTCCTCCTTTGTTTATTATCTGATTTTCTTGTATCCTCTACATCCTGGAGAATGCACACCTGTCCTTAAATATGTGAAGATACAATTAAATTGGTCAACAAGTAAATCAGTCATAACTGGCAGAACTTGGGACTTTGAATTTTTTTGGCTAAATTTTTTCCACAGATTTCAAACTCTATTTTCCTTGTTTCTTTAGATTGTTTTGATGATTAAGGACCAGATTAAGGCTTTTTGACTTATATAAAGTATACCATAAATATATCCCTTAAATCATTATAATTATTATAATTATCCGTATATATTTTTTTTGGGGGGGGGTTAGTTTTTCTTGACTTTATTTCAAAACATATTGACCTACAACTTTCACATATTCGAGTACGAATGCCAAACAATGTTTATTAAAACATACAAGTAAATTAATGAATTAGAACTACCTTATACACTGTCAATAACTTCAACTTCAATTATCTCTAAAACTAGAGTTTCAACATTGAATCAGCTTCAAAAAATCCAGTTTCTGACCGATTCTCACCATTTTTACATATAGTGTGCCCCGGTATCTGTTCTACAATCATATTAGAATGGATTTTTCATAAACCCTAAACAATTTGAGTGATAAATTTTGTTGTCTGAATTTGGTACATATTTCAAATGCCATATTGACGAGTTTTTTTTACAGTAAACTAAACTAAAAATCTATATTCTAAATCTATTAAAATGAAAGATCATATACTATTTTAAGAGCATAATAACACTTAATGAACAGTTGGTGATATTTAATATTTTTGCAGCTGATCTGATAATCTGAAATTTTCAATATTAAATTTTATAATTATTTTTAAATTTCTTGTTTTTCAAGTTACGTTGGTGATCATTTAGACAAAGTTGGAGTGTTTGACTAGTAGATTAAGCTAAAAAAATGTGAAAGCACCAGAACAAGTTTGAAAAATTTAACTCGTGGTACCATCGGGTCCAGTCGTATATATACACCATGCGCAGTTTAAGGGTTAATATTTATTCTAGTATCATAGGTAATACAGCATGTTATAGTACTGACTAAACATTTGGAAAAATCCTATTTGGTCAAGAACTACACTGACAGGAGTTACAAACTCCAACAGGTATTTGTAAATTAGTCTTAGTTAAAATTAAATTGCTTACAATTAACATGTCTAGTTTGGATTTACAGTACATCAAGAGAGCAGGGTGCAAAGCAAATAATTCAGCTCAGATGGTAGAAGCCTACCTATTTAACACTTTCGCTCGGGGATGACGCAGCATTGCGTCATCCGTTTACTGGCGGTAATGCCGGGGATGACGCAGCATTGCGTCATCCACTTTAAAAATTCGCCAAAAATCAGGTTTTTATCCGATTTTTTGGGGACTGGTTTTAAAATGTGCGCTGATGTCTTCCCATTTTCTTTGTTGAGCCTCGTGGCCCTCAGGCGGCTTGGCACATGCCGTGGGCCCATTGTCTTTGCTCCACTGTTGTGACCAATGTCGCCTCCCCTCGCATCTCAAACGTGTGAACATTTCGGCTATTTCCCGTGGCTATATTTCTTACTGCGGCTTTAGAAACTATCTACGCTTACTCCACGATGGATAGTAATCATGAACAAGGCCCTTCCAGGAAGAAAATTGCGAAAGAAAGGCTTGAAATGGGTGGGAATTGGGAGTGTAGCAGGAAGGCCTCTGAGCACTCACTCACGGCTAACGCGTGGCCCGTCTTCAACTCGTCGGCGGTTGGAGCGTGACCAGGTTTTTTTTTTATATGCTAATGTTCCTCTAGAGAATTTTATTACGAACCCATTGAGACCAAATTGAAAGACCTAGGACAAAAATTGAGGTGACCAGAGTGAAAATAGTGAAAACATTTTATCCCGTTTGCGCGCTCCCGGGTAACTCGTTCGCACTTTCTCTGTTTGCTGCGGGTAATTAGCTGGGCTTTTGGAGTTTATATGCATTTAGTGTTGTAGAGAATTTTATTGCGAACACAATGATACCAAATTTAATCTCGTAGAAGGAGAATTGAGGTGACAAAGTTGAAGAGAGTATACACTTTTCGAAATTAACGCGCGCTTCCGTGACACGCTGGGGCCCATATCGCCCTGTCGAGGGGTGGCGCGCGGGGTGAGCGAAAGTGTTAAACAGACTCCACTTCCAAGTTTTGAGCCAACACTCTACATCACAATGCCAGACCAAGTGGGATGGTTGAGGAAACAATGTACAGTACGGTGTGAGGATGAGAATGTTTTCTAGCTAGACATTACTTAAAGCATTACACTCAAATATAAAACTGAGACTGGGTTGAGCTTTGATTAGCTACCTGGAAAGAAAGGAGGGGTACTAACTTGCAAAGTAAATGCAGTCATTCTGTGTCAATAACAATTATGAATCTGATGCAATCTGAATTCAGTTGCAGTGTAAATATCCCAGAATGAGGAATGTTTAAACAAGTGAATAAACATTGGAGGGTTTTGCATAATGTTTAGGGTGGGTCTGTTGCAATATCTGATGCCATTAAGGCAGAGATTTTCAAGCTTTTTCAACTCATGATATGTTAAACAAGGTACAGTACTAAAATTGTCAAGTCACCCCATCTGCTGTTATCATATACTTATGCACCTGACATATGCTGTAAATTTATTTTGATTGGGAGTACTGAAAACATAAAAATTAACTAAATTAAAAAATAAAGAAATATGTACCAAAATTGAAACAGATAACCAAAATAAATGCATTAGTGCACATTCACACACAATAACACACCCGATCTGAACAACAGCTGCTTGAAAACTGTCCCTGTGTTGCCAGGAGGTGCCCTATTATGAAAAATATACACTATTGTAGTTTTAAAATTTACCTTGATGATTTAATATTCAATGTTTTCTTACTATTCAATCTTTTCTCACTTATCAACCTTTTCCCAAACTCTCACAGCAAATCAGTTGATAAACATTGCATTAGGGCCATTAATTTCAAATGACATGAGCTCTGATAGTGGGGATAATATATACCTAATGAATGCAAAGGTGCACAAATTTTGACATTTGTCTCCATAGTTGAGGTGAAATCTTGGCACAACATTCAATAACTTCAGCTCTCAAGAAACTAAATTAAAACTTTACCTTACTTAAATGCCAATTTAAAAAGAGAATGTGTTTTATTTACCTGAGATCTTTGATGGACAACTGCATAGCAGGTTCTAGAAGGCGAAGGTGGGGATAGAATTCTTCATAGCTAGGGGCACCAGCAATCAACGTGCTTCGTAATTTCTTCAGCTGCAGTGTTAATGAAAAATTACAACCTCACATTACTGTAGATTAAATATCAAAAGCAAAATATAAACTATGTGCAGAATTTAGCTTCAGAGAAAACCAGTGATCTTTTTTGAAAACAATTAAATTATACTGACAAATTCAATGGGATTCACAGAACCTGCATCTCCAAGTAAACAAAAAAACTAAATTAAATGGAATTCCAACAAGTATTTTAATATTTCTTTCATGCTAATCCTATGAAATATAGGATTTCCATTAAAATGACTATCATTTTAAAGGAAATCTAGAGAAGGCTAAAGGAGCACACCTAATCACATATCAACCTATTATTATTCAATGTAGATACATGTACAGTAAGATATTGTTCCTACCTTACAGCACAGTTCAACCCCGATACAGCAAACTACAAAATATGGGACCAACCCTGAGTCATTGGAGTGAACAATTCACTGCAACAGAAGTTGCCTTCAGAAGGAATTTGTATGATACAATTTTATTTTTTCAAGTGAATAAAAATACATTGCTTTGCCCATTTTCTTAATTTCTTACATTATCTAAAAAAAAAAGCGATTGGATCCCCAAGACAGATATGAGTCAACCCCAATATATTCGGCACTCTATAGCCGATTTCAGTGAGCAAAATTTTAATTTTAACCTATCACTTCATGGTCAATTTTCCCACAGACCAAAGACCAGTATGAGGCTATGTTTAACACTCCCAATAAACATGAAGGCTGTAGAGTTGGACAGCTTCTTTGTGAATGATGTTCAAACCCCTAACAATATAACTTGTACTAACATGAGCACAGTAGATATTTAAAAAGAAATTGACAACATCCCCATGCACTCAGCTTTGAGTCCTGAATCCTGGAATTCAATATTTATAAAGAAATATAATACACAGTGCCAATATATTATGGAGAAAAAGTTTGATAAAGGTAAGATACTACAAGCACTTAAATCAGCAGATATAGCTCATCTGACAAGGGAGGTGGTAAAGATTTCGCTAAAAACTACAGACCGGTCACATTATCATCATCCACAGTAAAAGCAGTTATGGCAAAATCTGCATTTTGTTTGTTGTTCTAATGCTTCAGTGATTTTGTCACTGTCATTGAGTAAGTGTGAAAGACAGGATATTCCTATTCTAAATTCATGTTGACCTGGGTTGTAAAGTTCATTGTTTTCCATAAATCTGGAAATTTTATTCCTAATCACTCATTCAAAAACTTTTATTGTGTGATGTTAGTGCAACTGGTCTATATTTTGTGCCAAAGCTTTACTACCTCCCTTGTGTAGTGGAGCTTTATCTGCTGAGTTAAGTGCTGCTGGTATCTCCCCTGTATCCAGGCTCTTTCTCCATATTACACTAAGCACTCATGCTACTGGTACTTTACATTACTTTATGAATGTTGAACTTCAGGAGTCTGGACCTAGGGCTGAGTGCATGGGGATGTTGTCAATTTCTCTTTCAAAGTTTTGTGTGTTCGTATTAATATCAGTTATATTGTCTGGGGTTTGGATGTCATTCATAAAGCTATCCGGATCTTCAACATTCATGTTGTTTATTGGGATATTAAACATAAGTGTCATACTGGCCTTTTAGGATTCCACTAATTTCTTTGTCATCCTCTGTGTATGAACCTTCAGTTGTAAGTAAAGGTCCAATACTGGTGGAGGTCTTTTATTTTGATTTCGCATATGTGAAAAAATATTTTGGATTTTTCTTTATCTCCTGTACAGCTTTCTGTTCCAATTTAATTTCTCCAAATTGGTATGATCGCTACAGTGTCTTCTCTATTTCTTTGAACTTCCAGGCTTTCTTTTGCAAGAAAATGGCCAACTGCCAATCAGCCACAGGGAGCCCAAGATCTCCAAAATGTGGCACACAGAAGGCCTTTTTCTCATCATTATCGAGTGTTGATATCAGCACCCTGAGGTTTTGGTAATCTTATACATAAATTCATTTCCTTTCATTATGCTATTTCTTTTCTAATCTGATGGGATTAGGTGCCAGTATACCTGCTTGATACCTGCTTGATGGGGCTCTGGGAGTAATTCAACTTCCCAAGCCCGGCCCGAGGCCAGGCTTGACGTGTGAGAGTTTTGTCCACCAGACTGTTGTTTAGAGCGGCCCGCAGGCCCACATACCTACATACCTACCACAGCCTAATTGGTTCGACACTTCTTGAAGAAAACTATCTAGTTTCTCTTGAAGATGTTCACCGTTGTTCCCGCAATATTTCTTATACTCGCTGGGAGGATGTTCAACAACCGTGGACCTCTGATATTTAAACAGTGTTCTCTGATTGTGCCTATGGCACCCCTGCTCTTCACTGGATCTATTCTACATTATCTTCCATATCGTTCACTCCAGTACGTTGTTATTTTACTGTGTAGATTTAGTACCTGGCCCTCCAGTATTTTCTACGCATTTATTATTTGATCTCCCTCTCATCTCCTTTCTAGTGAGTACATTTGGAGAACTTTGAGATGATCCCAATAATTTAGGTGCTTTATCGCGTCTATGCGTGCCATATATGTTCTCTGTATTCCCTCTATTTCAGCAATCTCTCCTGCTCTGAAGGGAGAAGTGAGTACTGAGCAGTACTCAAGACGGGACAGCACACGTGATTTGAATAATACAACCACTGTGATAGGATCCCTGGATTTGAAAGTTCTCGTAATCCATCCAACCATTTTTCTGGCCGACGCAATATTTGCTTGGTTATGCTCCCTAAATGTTAGGTCTTTTATATATTGTATATATATATATTTTGTAGCACAGCTACAACAGCATTATATGGGACTGCTATTCCTACTGCCACTTCTCTCCCATTGCCTGTTATTGTTCGAAAGGTTTCCTTTGACATCTGCACCGTGAAGCAATCCTGTGGAATAGCTCATAAATCAAGATTTGAGAACATGTAATAACAGTTCCTGCCATTACTTTCTTCATTGAGCTATGTAGGTTATGTTTTAGCCAGGAGTTCAAGTGGAAAGTGGTCCTTGTTGTTGAGTCAATGCAGTCATCTGGTGGCACTGACCTACTAGGCTGTTCAGTAGGTAACTACAGCACAGTTTGACAGTCTCTGTTTGCTAACGTGTGTGGGGAATGGCTTTTTTATTATGAAATTGAGTTATTTTTCAATGTTCTGGGATGTAATGAGTATTTGTTAATGTTTCCTTACTACCTTCATGATCATGCAGGAAGTCTGAAAAATTTCCTGCCCCACCAGTGAAGAATGTCAACCTATCCTAGCTGTGCAAGATCCAAACCACACGGGGGTAGAATCTTGCCTACCTTGTGTAGCTTCCGGGAATCAACGGCCCAACGGTCTCCCAGGCCTCCCGGTTGGTCATCTGGTCAACGAGGCTTGATACCTGCTTGATATCTATAGAGGCGGTTGGACGCGGTTGCTCGCAGCCTGACATATGAATCACAGCCTGGCTGATCAGGTATTCTATGGAGGCAACCAACAGCCTGGTTGATCAGTCCAGCAACCAGAAGGCTTGGTCGACGACTGGGCCGCGGGGACGCTAAGCCCAGAAGCACCTCAAGGTAACCTCAAGGTAGGCGTTTGTCGAGTTCTCTCTTGAACACTGAGAGGCTGGCCTCACCACCCATGGGACTGTGAGGCTGAGTGGCAGCGCTGGAGGATCCGATCCCCGGCCGGACCGGCCCGGGTAAGATCCCCGGCCGGACCGGCCCGGGTAAGATCCCCAGCCGAGGCAGAAACAAAATGGGCAAAGTTTCCTTCACTCTGATGTATCTGTTCACCTAGCAGTAAATAGGTGCCTTAGAGAGCATCCAGCATGCACTTAAAACAATTTTTACTAAAAATATATAAAGTATTTAATAATCCTAAATATAAAAACCTATGTTCATATATTGCATTAATATATGAATACGAATACAGTATTTGAGAATGCAGGTAGAGCAACAAGTGTAAATGTAGCCAGAAATGTCCTGCCTTAGTTTAATTAGTTGGGCTCCATTTCACCCAAACATCCATACACGTGTATAAACTATTCCATAATACAGTATCTGGGAAAAAATTATTTTACTATCTGACCACATGGTAAAATACTGAAATAGCATAGTAAAAACCTTCCTAGCAGCATATATAGTTGATTGCTATCTTAACAATTTAATGATACTAGAATATAACAATATTCAATATGAAAATATTTAGATTAGATAAATTTGCATGAATAAACACTAAGTGCATACTGTATTTACCAATTCACCATTCCAAAATCATATTGTTTATTAAGTATGCACATTTTCAATATACTATACAGTATTTCTGATTCAGCCCTGGGGGGAAGCATTTAGATTAACAACAACAACAACAAAAGTACAAAAAGGTTTTTGGTTTCAAATCTTTTTTTGTAAACATATAGATGCATGTGCACACAAATCAACTTAGTGTTGATTTGTGTGCACATGTTCTCTGTGTTGATACACAGAGAATGACAAGGAGGTGTGTGAAGAACTCAACAAGAGATTCCAGGAGGTCTTCACAATAGAACAAGAAGAAGCCCCTGCACTAAATGAGGCGGCGGCAAACCAAGCAACCTTGGAGGAATTTGACCTCACCAGTGATAAGGTCAAAAGGTGTCTGCTGGAGCTGGATGTGACAAAGGCTGTTGGGCCTGATAGAATCTCACCATGATACTAAAGGAAGGTGCAGAAGCACTAAGTGTGCCACTCTCTATGGTGTATAACAGGTCACTGGCAACAGGAGACTTACCAGAAAGTTGGAAGACAGCTAACGTGGTTCCAATATACAAAAAGGGTGACAGGCAAGAGGCACTGTATTACAGGCCAGTTTCCTTAACTTGTATACCCTGCAAGGTGATGGAGAAGATCGTGAGGAAAAGGGTTGTAGAGCATCTGGAGGGAAATAACTTTGTAACGCACCAACATGGGTTCAGAGATGGAAAATCGTGCCTCACAGGTTTAATAGAATTTTATGACCTGGCAACGAAAATTA